TCCCCTGGAGGAGCTGGAGGAAGTGTCTGGAGAGAGGGAAGTCTGGGCATCTTTGCTTAGACTGCTGCCCCCGTGACCCGGTCCCGGATAAGCAAAGGAAAATAGATGGATGGATGAAAAAATGCGATTCAAATTATTTAGATATATTATCCAACCCTAAAATAAAAGGGGAAAGAGCACTCCAAGCTGCTTAGTGTCAGGTTTGCCCGGCTGCACCTGCCTTTCTCACTTCTCTCCCTCTATTTTATCTCCCCTACCCCCGACTATTTATACCGTGCTCATCATTCACTTCCCTTCCAGTTCTTTCTACACACAAGCCCGTTTCTATGCCGATCTATTATTTTGTCTTCTATATGTATTTTCTCACGTTCTTCATCCCAGCTCCGTTCCTGCCTTGTGCCCCATGTCTTATCTTTCCCGCCGCTATCGCTTCTCCGGACCACGGACCTCCTCAACTCCACATCACTCCACCACGCTGGTCGATGCACAGTCTCCCATTAACTGTTTCTCTGACTTTGTCCCCTCAGCAACCAACCACCACGACCAACAGAAGCCCCGCCGCCCGCACCCCAGCCTCATCCTTATCATCACATCACTGACTGTATGTTTTCCATGTCTGCCGCTCGACACCTGGTTCTGCTCCGTATTCCTTCACCTGGTTGTACACATAATTGTTATCGTCACTGTAAATAAATTGAGCACTTCTTGCACCGAAGTCAGCTACCTCGGTCCGTCATTTTTTACTCGCTCACCTCCCTACCAGAGCGATCCTAACACTTAGTGAGAACTGACAGCCACTAATGATAGTATACTGTAGGTTCACCTAGTTTTTTCACTGACCTCTTACAACTGTCTAAAAACCATGCTCATCTTGTTCAGAGTTGAGGATATTCTGACAGAGGAGCGTTAAATAAAAGTGGATGATGCAGCACAGCTAATAATCACACAGTTCAACACTTTGACCTTTTACATAATGAGACTGGTTCTGAACACCCTGCTGCCGCCTGAGAGTGTGTCTGTTTGCACTAAATGTGTGTGAACAGCAGTGTGTTTGACTGTTCTTGTGTGTGGGTGTGTGAACCACCTTGATCTTGCTGTCAGGGCTTGGCAGGGTCTTCTTGTTATTGCCTGTTGGAGATTTGGCTGTGCCTTTTTCTCCCTTCTCCTTCTTCTCAGCCAGCTTTTTCTCCTCTTCCTTCTTATCTTTGTTGGTCTTCTCCGGCTTGTCCACCTTTTCTGCTTTCTCGGTCTTGTTTTTCTCTGCATTCATCTTATTGATCTTTTCGTTATCTTTGAGAATCTTTTCAGACATCTGGTTCTTGTCTGGGTCGCTGTCTTTCTTCTGCTGCTCCTCTTTCTCTTTGTCAAAGGCGTTGGTCTTAGTTTTATCAGACATGACGTCTGTCTTCTCCTGCTTGTCCTTGTCAGATTTCACTATAAGAGAAAGAATGTCACTGTCAGTCTATTTTACCACAATACCTTTAAACACTAAAAAAAAGTGAACTGATACAAAAGACAAAGAAAAATAACTGTTCTAATAAACCTCATCAAAGTTGTTGCTATATATCATAATTTTTGACTATAAAATGAACCGTGTTTCCCTATTTACATGTACTGTAAGAGAATTTTTGGAAGACGCTGCATTGTGACATGAGCAAAAAGTAAAAAAATGACAGATCATTTGGAGTACATAGACACATTTTTATTATTGAAAATTGATTATCAATTTACTGTTTTCATAAGTGCAAATTGGTTTTTTCACGCAAAAACATTCCATTTCCAGTGGTCATCCAGACTCATAGAAGTGCAGTTATAAGCATAACTCTGTGCTCTGGATTATGTGAAGGGGCCATGTTTTAAAACTAAATGAGCTGAAACAACATATAGACCGCACAAATTTTCATTAGGATATGTAGTCGGCTTTTTCTACAAGAAACAGTGTGCCATTGAAATAATTTGATGCTGTAATCACAAAAATAGTTGCGTTAATATTGTGCAACTAGACTGCAACTAAACTGGTTGTCTATTGCAAATGCTACTTTGTGTCACTGTATCACTCTGCAACAGTAATTATGACTCATCCAACATGATTTGCTGGCTAAAGCCCAATTTAGACCAAGACAGATTGCGATCCAATCACTGAAACCACTTGCCGAGGTGATCTGAGACGCATTTGACCACGTCTTCTGTAGTGTGAAGGCTATTGGGTCCCGATTCATCCAAACAAGAATATTAGGAAAATAACATGCATGATATGTTTAGGTGAGAGCAGTCCAACACTAATAAAAAGAAAATGGAGAAAAACATGCAATACAAATCCATCAACGTATTTATGAAAGTTTTCATAATGTACTTTTGGTCTCCTTCTTTGGTTAGGGAGGGTAACAGGGTGATGTAATAACTGTGCCTATTGATTTTTTTAGCAGAAGCGTTGCAGCAGTTACAAAATCTGAAAACAAGTGGTCACCTGGGCACCTTGGAGATGCATGTATAATGACAGGTGTGACTGGTGATATCTTAGCTGTCCACTTGTATTCGGATCACTGAGATGCATTTTAATACTATGTCTAAATGGGGTCCATCTACGGTAATACTTTGCTACAATAGGCAGCTTTTGGCAACCAGCTGTGCTTGTTGTCTTTCCATGGTTTTGTAGACAATTCTTTGTTTGATACATTGCTCAGTGGACATTCCTGTGTTTTGAGGGCATTCTGGCAGGTCCTCACAAATTCAAGGGAGTGTTAAAACTTGGTTTTAGGGTTAAGGTCAGAAATAGGTTTGGTGTTAGGGTTAAGGTTGGGACTAGGGAATGCACTATGTCAAGGAGTGTCCTCGGAACTGTAGAAAACAAATCTGTGCCTGTGACAGAGAGAAAAACAGAAAGAGCTGGCTGTCATGTAAATCAGAGCATGGCTAACATATGCAGACACGAAGCTGGTGCAAGGATACTTCACTCCAGGCAGTCTTTTCAAAATGCACACGTGTGTGCGCGCACACACACACACACACACCTATTTTTTCTTTTTCTGTCTCATATTTGAGTACTGACTGCTATAGGCCCTACATGCTAGCAAGCTACCACACTGAGAAACAAGACAATCAATAAACAGACCTACTGTACTATGGTACTGTAATAACCAACATTGCATTACATAGACAAACTGATCTTATACTCTCTTGCATTGCTCCAGTGAGTGTGAGAGAAAATGTTTAATTTTAATAAAATAATGTAGTTATATATATATTTTTTATTGCTAATTCAATTTCCACATTTTGCCTTTTGTATTAACAGTGCACTGTAGTTCTAATAAAGACAAACTTTTATCTGTATAGCACTTTGTAAAACTTAAAATTTTCACAAACTCAAACCTCATTTAAATTTAATACCAGTTATGGTCTGCCACTGTGTTTATTTATATTCAGCAATAACTCAGCTAGTAAATCTCTATATGGCAGCTTTCATTCTTAGTGCAGGGTCTGCCATTCAAGTGCTTGATTCAAATCTCCTGCACATGCTTGAGAAAACGATGCGGTACATTATGCATTCCAGTGTAATTTTTCTCTCATCAGTCTCAGTCTCAGTCTCGCTATTTACTGTTCACTTTCTTTACACCGTGTCATTACTCACGTCTGTAAAGAGGTGAATTTTAGAATATTAATAGAAGGTTGCTACACAGCAGTTTTCACATGTGAATTAAGTTACTTCTAATACTAACCCAATATTTTCTACTGCTGCTGCTTCACATTAAAATTGTTCAATTGGTGAAACGCATACTTGTTTTTATTGTGATGAAGCATGTCTTTTTTTAGATGGCCATATACTTCATCAAATTAATTTAGTTTCCTCACAAAAATGACTCCAAATGTTACTGTAGTATATAGATAATTGTTTTTACATAATGTCGTTTCTACATCATTTTCATATATACTGACTTCCTGCGGTTGCTAACCTGCAAGGTGCACTTTTAGCTGCAGACTCACTGTCTACTGTCAGTGTGTTTGTGGGGGTGTGTGCCTTTACAATCTGTCAGACTCACGTCACTTGAAGCTCTTCACCTACGCGCACATACTCGTGTGCACACACATCAAATGCTCAAAATAGCTGCTCTATATTTGAATGAGTACAGTCGTAGTCAATGTCAAATGTTTAATCCTGGCTTTTCCCTGTTGACTGCAGTCAACACATCACTGGATTGATCGGTAAATCAGAGGGAAAACACATTCAATATATACTGAATAGAAATTGATAGAACACATAAAAATAAAGAGAAAAATGAATGAAAATATTCATGGGTAGTTTCTCTTTAATTAACTTTATTATAGGGAGCCACATAAAAAACATCTCTAATGCAAATCAGATTTGCCATCCTATAATCATCTGCCAGCTCTGTTCACACACTTTTTGAAACAATAAATTAAATGATCATTTCAAAGAATGCAATGTAAAATGAAGATGTGATAGATCTGTTTGACCTTGGTGTCCCGAATCCCACTTGTAACTGGATTCTGGACTTCCTGACTGAAAGACCGCAGGTAGTTAGAATGGGAGGGCGAGTGTCTGCTGAGCTCACAATCGGCACAGGCTCACCACAAGGCTACTGTCTCAGCCCCAAACTCTTCACCCTGTACACTCATGACTGTGTCTCCAACCATGACAACACCATCATCATTAAATATGCTGATGACACCACCATTCTGGGCCTCCACAAGGTGGAGGAAAAGTCAGGTTACAGAAGCTTGGTGAACGACATTCTTGTTTATGGCGAGGAGAATGACCTCATCCTCAATAAAAACAAGACAAAAGAAATAATAGTAGACTTCAGGAAGAACCCCTCCCCTCTGCTGCCTGGAGGTGGAGCCACAAGTTCCTGGGCCTGCAGGCGACATCTGACCTGAGCTGGTCACTGAACACAGCTGCCACAGTAAAGAAAGCCTACCAGCTGTTCTGAACCGTCGCCCTCTCACCCAGGCTTACAGCATCCTCACCTTTGGCATTGCAGTCTCTTCAAAGGGTCATAAAGACTGCAGAGAGGATCACTGGGACTGAACTGCCTGCTATGGACACAATATACACAAAGCACTGTCATAAAAAAGCGGAAAACATAATCAAAGATTCACTCCACCCAGCTCATACTCTGCTCAGACACAAAAACTTCACCCACAACCTCAGGCACAGCAGGGCCGACAGTATCATCACAACAGAATAAGATTATATGTATATATATTGAGTGAGTATCACACTGAATTGTTGTAAATTATATTTCTAATTTATTATGTTTACAATGACAAATTATGTCTACATGCTCCAAAACACGTGCGTGGGTGAATGCATGGAATTTCTCATTAGTGGATTTCTGCTTGCATCTGTTTAGGATTAAGGCTTAATAAGTACTGTAGCAGACTATTAGGATTTTTGGGCTGCACTGCAATCAGAGTTGGAGGTAGTGAGAGAAATTCACTCAATAATGACGAGATACAAGACAAAATCCATCAGTGGACTGAACAACCACAGACCTGTCGCCCTGACATTTGTAGTTATGAAGTCCTTTGAAAGACTGGTGCTGGCCCACCTGAAGGACATTGTAGACCCCCTGCAGTTCGCCTACTGGAAAAACAGGTCCGTGGACGACGCAGTCAACATGGCACTGCATTACATCCTGCAACACCTCGACTCCCCAGGGACCTACGCATGGGCCCACTTTGTGGACTTCAGCTCAGCGTTCAACACCATCATCCCAGACATCCACCACTCTAAACTGACCCAGCTCACTGTGCCTGCCCCCACCTGTCAGTGGATTAGTAGCTTTCTGACAGACAGGGAGCAGCAGGTGAGGCTGGGGAAAACCACATCCAGCACCCGGACAATAAGCACAGGTGCCCCCCAGGGATGTGTGCTCTCCCCTCTGCTGTTTTCACTCTACACTAACGACTGCATCTCGAAGGACCCCTCTGTCAAGCTCCTAAAGTTTGCAAATGATAGAAAGGTCATTGGGAGGTTGAGCAGCTGGTCCTGTGGTGTAGCCGCAACAACCTGGAGCTGAACGTGCTCAAAACAGTGTACTTCCTGCGCCAGCTCAGGAAGTTCGACCTGCCCCAGGAGCTGCTGATACAGTTCTACAGAGGAATCATCGAGTCAGTTCTCTGCACCTCCATCACTGTCTGGTTTGGCTCAGCAACCAAACGGGACAAGTACAGACTTCAGCAGACAGTCAGGACTGTAGAAAAGGTCATTGGTGTGAGCCTGCCCTCCATGGAGGACCTGTACACCGCATGGGTCAAAAGGAGGGCGGAGAGGATCACTACAGACCCTTCACACCCCGGATACAATCTGTTTGAACTCCTCCCCTCTGGAAGGCGTCACAGGTCACTGTGCACTAAGACAACCTGGTACAGGGACAGTTTCTTCCCCTAGGCTGTCATTCTGATTAACACTT